CTTCGTGGCCTTAAGTATGTCATAGTTTGTATGACATTACGTCCGCATAAATGCATCAAAAGGCAGTTATCTTAGAACCTGTGGCAGGTAAAATATTGGGTGACATTTATTTTGAACATTTCTGTCATAAATGAAGGACGTGTCAGAAGCAACAAGCGCATTGCTAGGGGACCAGGTGTTCGAATTGTTCACCGACTCACAGTTATTTTAGGGGATTCGAAGTTCTACTAAGTCCTTCGAAGCAGTCAAACAAACTGTATCGTCTTTTGTGTGTAGACCTTCCTTCTAATTACGTAAGTCAAACTAAACACGTGCTTGGATCGGGCATACACAAACATGAGTTGGCTGTATGATGGAATGTCCATTGATTAGAAGTGGCTATCCACGCCTTTAGCACAAGCCACGAGTTCAACTTCGCAGCCACCCGGATAATCACCCACGCCGAAAATAAATTGGCCAAAAATTGTTTCTATCCTGGGCCTCGACCAGTCGATGTATTGTTCTGGCGTCGGCATACGAAGCCGTGCGCAGCTACCTCAAGGCTTAAGTCACTGATATTTGATTGGTTTATACCCCCTTATATCCGACTTCTTCTGTTACTGCTACCATATCTGACCCTGGACTCTTGTGCAAGTTCGGAAGCTTGGACACATAAATTAGTAGTTTCGTCGATTAAACTGCTTCCTTATACACACGCAAATAGTATTCGACCCTTCGCCTCGATTCCTTTTCTGTTTTTTTTTGTCGGAGGGGATCTCGAAGTAATGGAGCTTCCTACATCAGGCACCCAATTCGAGCCCTTCGTCCATTGTTGTAGCATTTTTGGCTCTTTTTATCTTGGCCATGCAAAACAATTTGACGTTTTCCCCTTCCTGTGGACTGTACTCATTACCCTTACCAATATTATTTATGGTCTAGGTCTCGGAAGAGTTCGGTTGTCGTCTAGGTCAGGAAGTGGGCTACACAATCCGTTTCGAGGACTGCACCACACCGGAAACAAAGATCAAGTACATGACTGATGGTATGCTTCTTCGAGAGTGTCTTATCGACCCGGATTTGCTACAGTACTCTGTCCTCATGCTTGACGAGGCTCACGAGCGAACAATCCACACCGATGTGCTGTTCGGCCTGCTGAAAAAGGCCATTCTGAAACGTGAGGACCTCAAGCTCATCGTGACGTCTGCCACTCTGGACTCTGTGAAATTCTCCCAGTACTTCTTCGAAGCCGTAAGTGATCATAAACTTTGTGTGTTTTCTGCCTCAAGCCTATGATTCCCTTATTTTGGGTTTAGAATTTGGGAGTACACTATATTTTTGCAGGAAAACGAAGTCTCGACTGCATCAAGCTTTTTACTACACGCTAACCTATGCAGGCAGACCCTTGCACGTAAGCATACTACTTATAATAAGTGAGTAGGTGTGTATTTTTACTCTTTGACTAGCCGACGGATGCTCGCTTTTCGCCTGCAATTTTGAAATCTACCTCTTTTTGCATAGACGCTCTCCTTAATCACTTTGTAGCCATTAGGGAGGTCATAGGTGTTCACCTATAATTACTCTAATAAAACTGAGGTGAATTGAACACTAACCACAGAACCCCACCAGGCCGCCTGCACCTCCATGAACATCTTTTGTCATACATTACCAGATCTCCCCACCATGCATGAGCACTATCAACATCACACCCTGGTGGTACGTAATTGAAACGCGTGGGGTGTGTTCCTCGCTGCTCCTTCTCCATGCCTGAGACTACCACGATGCTTTGAACGCTGTGGCTTGGAAGGTTTAGAACAGATGGTTGTACTCAGACCACGGAGTCAGCCCAGTCTGTGTCTGTATGGAGTAGCTGACGCGCGGACTGGGAACCAAGCCACAATAGCTACTACTTACTGTGCCCTTTATGACATTCCCATTCCGTGGAATCCTAGCCAAGTCGGGCGGCAAGCTTAGGCACGACTCTGGCCGCGCCAGCTACGTGCGTCGTCTCCCGCCGTCGATCTTGTTGACTCTCTCCTGACGCCGGGCCCAGTTGGGAGAGTGCGATACATGCAGCAAAAGTCTAATCTCACCATAATCCTATTCACGTGCAAGTCTCCGTCTCCGTGCTATGTAATGGTAGTTTTTAGGCTTTATTTTCTCAGTGAAAAATCCTGGCCGAGCAACTCCCCAGAAAACATTATGATATACTGCTACTCGAGTTTGCCACTTATTTAATTTGCTTTATCTGTAACCAAGGTGTTGTCTTGTAGCGGTGTACAATTTAATTCTGAATTTGCAGCTTGAGTCTCTCAACGCCCATTACTAAATATTGAGAGGAATTCGTACCCCCTGAATTCCAAAAATAGAAGTACCGTTCAGTGCAGTGTTCTGTTATGCAAGCGAGAAAATAACCCTGGTTCCCTCACCTACCGCCTTGCGTGCATTCTGCCAAAAAAGCACACTTCCGTGCCTTTGCTACATTTTCTAAAAGTAGTACACTTCTTTGTTTAAAAAAGCTTTTTACCAAAAAAACTGGCACTGTGTCTGCACGTGTTCCCAGACATTGGCGACTATATTTTTGGACGAGATTGTAGTTTTTTTATGGAATTGTCATGCAGGCCAGATTTTTTATTTTCTGAAAGGGTGAACAAGTGTGGGCGTGTACTTTTCGTAAGACTGTTGAATGCATTTCCCCAGACCAAAGGTACCGTAGATTACCTGTCTCATGAAATCTCGTGCATTTCGTAGTAAAATTCAGCGCATGCAGCGTTCATTCGTTTATAAATTCATATTTACTAACATAAAAAATCAATTTTATTAGAATCTCGAATTTAGGTAATGGCTTTATTAGAAATAACCCTCATATAGCTAAAACGGGACAAGTAGAAACGAAAACATAATGCAGAATGATAACATATGAAAAAAAATATCAGTACTTAATGGTCAAATTTATGGGTCCGGTGAAACAAACTACTGTCATATAGGTTTATTGCTGTCTTTTATGGCATAAAACATCACAAAATTGTAAAAATGCATCCGCTCTTGTTTCTTTGAAAGGGCGTTGAAAAGTGCACTTTTACATTTTTGTCAAACAAACTGAAATGCGATTTCTCCCAACTGCATTTACCTATTTTTCATCAACAGTAAACCGCAATTTCCGCTCTCTGAGATTTATTTAAAATTTATCCTAATTATGTTCATTTTTAATACAACGCGCACAAACAGGGAGGTTCAGCCGCAGCCTTCACCAGTCCAGAAAAGTACTTGAGTATTAGAATTAGGTCCAATTTTGTCCAATTCTGTTCTGTATTTCAGTCAGTATACAGATTTTAAATGAACTCTTTAGCAAACAGCTTTCTGGGCCCCAAATCAGTTCAACAAAGAAAATAAACAACTTTAAATGTTTGCCATACTCACGCCCTAAATTTCGATCTGCACATTTAATGAGTTTGGTAATCTACTTTAAATGTTGCTTCGCTCTGTCCGTGACTGTTCGTTCCTTTTGCTAGAATACAAAAATGTGAAAGTAAGCGTTTTTATTAGAGTCTGTCGAAAATCCCTCTGTTTAGTTAACCTGGATAGAACTTCTGTGCCTGAGTTCTGAATCGCCCTACTCCTGGCATACATTAGGCAATAAAATAAGTTAATTAATGCACATACACGAAGTAAGTTCCAGTAACCTATAAGCCATGCTGGACACAATTTTTTCTAATGTTACCACACTACGATACTTTTTATTAAGGAAAATAAAAACAATTTAGGGGGTTTTAGCAAATTTGCTTAATTTAGTTGAGCAATTGTAAAAAAACTCGCGACGTCGGCTGGAGTCGGAGCCTTTACGTAGCCAACTCTCTACCACTTGAGCTACAACGCCACGCTGGCGCCGCGAATTTAATCACACTTAGATAAATTGCACCTGCCCAAACTTACCGCTCGTAAGGAATCCACCAATACGGAAGAGAAAGCTGACTACCCAAGCAGGATTTCCTAAGCAGTCATCTAGAATCCACCAGAATGACTACTAGGCTGACTTAATTATTAAGGGGGTTTTGGCAGATTTGTTTAATTTAGTTAACCTAATTGTGAAAAAAAACTCACGAAGTCAGTGGCAGTCGGACTCACATAGCAGGGAAACCCTTTACGCAGCCAACGCTACACCGCTTGAGCTACAACGTCACGCTTATCGACCCGATGAACTCATTTTGCACGTGTTCACGCAAAAGTCACTGCGCCTGTGCCCATCCTGCTGTGGGGTGCAGTGTGAACATCCTTGGAATTTGCTGTGGAACTGTCGCATGAAAAATGACGCCAACAGCTTTTCTATCACCCTCACGCCAGCCAGTAAGCTAAATGGCGTTTGGCGAAACTTAGCCCAACCTTCTTCGCTTTCTTCCCCCCCCCTCCCGCTCCACACCCTACCCGCCTTATCATATCTGTCCATCGTCTTTCCCCTCCCCATTCATCTCGCCCCTCATCTTGCTAATCAACACCCTACTGTCTCATCAATCGTCGCATTTCTTTGTCGCAAGCGTGCCATAGCGTACCTAATAGTAATTAGTTTGTCCTTTTGCTAGTTTCCCAAGGACACTTTGCGTGCGGACGACTGCTTTGTGTGTCCGGGGTCTTATTTCCTTTTCGCCATCCACTACATATAGTTATTTGAATTGAGCTTAACAGACTTTAAACCAGTACATTTTTCTCCTGTTCGGAATCCGCTTCACTTGATTTGCGGACTTAAATCCTTCATTTGATCCAGCTGTTAGAAGCAAAGCTTCGTGGTGGGCTTCGACCCCACCACGGCCAAGACAAAACGTCGATACAGCCTGGTAACTTAGTTGGTTAGAACTTCGCTTGTACTAAAACCTTTCTGGCTGTCGTGGGTTCGAATCCAACTGAGGCCACTGAAGCTTCTACAGTTAGGTCGATTGAAATGAGAAAGGAATTGCCGATGATTAACGTGCATAATATCTGATTTTGCGTTTTAGCCCATTTTCACTATTCCCGGTCGCGCCTTCCCCGTGGAGATCCTCTACAGTCTGGAGCCGGAGAATGACTATCTGGATGCTGCTCTTAACACCGTTATGCAGATTCATCTCACCGAACCTCCGGGTCTGTTACACATTTTTGGACTCCTCTGTATTTTATCTATACTTTTGTTTTTAGCAATGAGCCATATTTTCTTCTCTTTTTAAGTAATTATGTTGTTGCCGGCGGGTGGTGATCACTCACTGGGGCAGGCGGATGCAATGCACGCCGCCACGTCTTGTACTTGGGATGAGTTTGCGCAATTTCAAAACCATCAGCAGTCCTTCCTAGCCCGGCGCGTCCACAGCTGGCGGATAGTGGAACG